ACGTTTCAGGCCCTTGCGATATTTAGTAGATTATATTAATGTTTATTGTACATCGCCAACGCAAGTTTTACATCTCACTTATAATGTTTTTGATATTTTCAAATATCTTGAATAAAAATTTGAATTCTAACTACTTACGATGCTTACCATTTCTTAAAAGTAAAAATTTTTTTTGTTTCTCTCATTTTGTATAGTGTAATGAGCTTTGTTCACTAGTGGTAGTTTGGAGCTGTTAGTATTATCTTCGTCAGGTCCTGGGCTAGAAATTCGAAACGTCGTCTCTAAACTATCGCTAGTGGACAAAGCCTACAGTTATCTAAGATTAATCATTATTTATTACCTCAAATACTTTTTAAACCAAAAAGAATTAAACAACATTAGGGCTCATTTCACATACTAATAATTATACAAGATAACATATGCTGTCAAGTTCCCCGCTGGGTCAATGGTAAGTTCCTGATCTCACAAAACATAGATAACCAATTGGGTAGCTTTGCGTTAAAACGAACATGATGTCAAGTACATTCAAAGCTTAATTTCTACAAATATGCACTAGATCTTTGATGACAGGTGAGGATGTGAGATTTTGAGTTTTGAAAAATAACAGATATTATTGAAGAGGAGTAATGGAACTAGGACAAAGTTAAAATTATAATTCTTCCGCCTTTACGCAAACCAAAATCCAAAACAGGTTCAATCTGTCAGGTCCGGATAAATCTGGCTGAAATCAAGTCCTGAACATATTTGATCCAATGATTTAATTTACATCACACATAAATATTTCATTAAATATAAACGTGAGAAACATTTAGTGTTTCAGTAACATGATAAATGAATATGTATTTGGTGATTCTGTCGTGTGAGCAAATAACTGGAAACATAAATCCGTAATGGACTACTTAGGAAGAATATTTTCTAGTTTCTCCAGCTTAGATGTTTAACAGCACAACATCAAGTTTCTTGTGTAGGGTACAAATAGGATTTATGATGGAATTTCGGTTACAAACTTGAAGAAATGAAAACTTATCAAGTGGTTACAGGCCATTTAATTCATTACATATCACATGTAGTTTTATTATGTTTAGTTTAGTATCTTTATTCTTTATTATAAAGGTTATTTTGCATCGTAACTTATGTATATTAATTTAGAAATACCCTAAATCTCTTGCCCCGGCATGACCAGGTGGTTAGGGCGCACGACTTGCAATCTGAGGGTCGCGGGTTCGAATCCACGTCACACCAAACATGCTCGCCCTTTCAACCGTGGGGGCGTTATAATGGGACGGTT